AAAAAAAAATAGGGGGATCAAAGAGCAGAAAAGGAGGTGGAGCTTGTGCCTGACTCTGCAGGCACTCAGCGATCTCCCGTAAGATCTGAACTTTGCTCACACGAGAGTTCGGTGTACGTTTTAAAGTCAACTAGGCCACTACATTAGGTCCACCTGCTCAATCCAATGAACACATTGCCTTATATTGGTAGCTCGACCTAATTATTTGACCATGATGCGTACCTGCTGGTAAGGGTTGGTCAACGTCTGGTTGCAGTAAACATAGTAATGAACGATATCTGCAAGCAAGCAAAACGATGAGTCAGCATTCTCACAATGAGGTTTTGAAGCTGGCTGGTGGATGACTCCGCGTTTTTATTCGTCGTACCTGTGCCGATGACGCCTTTGATTTGACTCATGATGAACTTGTCAGGCGCCACGCAGAAGTCACTCGTGCCCTGAAAACAACACACAGGAGTCCAATGCAGTCAAATTGAAACTGTGACTTCCAAACTTTGAAAACCAAACCCTGGCTTGAAACCTTTAATTTGAAAACTTTTCTTGCAAACCATTACCGAAGCTTGAAACACTAAACCTGCCAAGCTCCCATCAATCCTTTATCCAGACCGACACTGCGCACGACGCTACATGACTAGCGTGCAAAGGGATAATTAGCACGGTGGACTTGATGAGCACACTACCATGGCAACGCGGCTGCGAACGTGCACGCTTCACTAACGAGACCTTTTCCTCATTGTCCAACGAGCGATTCCCCATCTCTTCCGGCCCGTTTCCGTGGTTACGCATGGATCCTGCACTGGCCCGCAGGTACCGGTTAACCGCAGCAGTAGAATGAATATGATTTACATTTTTTAAAACGAATAAATGAACTTGTAACAGATGGCATGCCGGGCAACTCACCACAGCGGCGGCCAATTCGGCTCCGAGCGACGCCCAGCTGAGTATCAACGTCAGCACCCCGCACAGCATCATCCTGGTGGGGAATTCAAACACATTTAGACACACTCAAAATGATTACATATCAAATAACGAGCACCCAATATTAAACACATGCAGCGATATTTTCATACGTGCGTTTCCAATTTCTATGCGGGAGCAGCTCAATAAAGCGGACTGGTAACAGTCATTAGAGCATCAAAGAAGTTTTATTTTGAAAATCTGGTGCCTCCCCAAACTGCTTGCTTTAATCACCAGGCAC